ACCTACACGTGGCCAATGCTGACAGCCAGCCAGCTGGCAATAATAGTTCTGGTGAAAGGTAAAACCTTTTTTTAATAAAAAAAAAGAAGGTATTTTTTTTAATTTTCAATTTTCAATTTGAGTTTATTTCTCTTTCATTTTCAACTTTTAAATGTCTAAATTAGGAAATGAGAATTTCAGAGTTTTTTTTCTAACACTTTTTCTAATTTTTTCTATTCTCTCACTATCATTGTCAAGTACAATACGGAACCTCTCCATTGAAACCCTTCTCCACTTAGGGGTGTTTGGCAAACTTGCCAAAAGTGCTTTTGAAGCCCAAACTGAAAAATGCCCAAACATCCCATAATTTTTTGAAATCATGGTTTGCCTCAAAACCATGGTTTAGCCTATCAAAACCATGGTTTCATCCAAAGCAAAAAAATTTCACTTCCGAACAGTGAAAATACTGCTGTTGCATAATTATGATAGGTGTCAGACGAAAGAGAAAGGCGGAGTGGATGAATTGAAGCCTCTGAGGTGATAATGATAATTATTTACATGCAAGCAATCTATCTCTCTTGGGAAAAAAAAAAACTCCTCATATCAATTGTTATACAATGAATTTCAAATTTAATTTTGCGAAGAAAAAAAAATATCATGAGATTTTATGTTTAAAATCTTCAAGATAAAATAATATTTTTCAGTTGGCAAAAAATTATTTTTTAAAAACATAATCTTATATTTTATAAATACATATACACGTATTAATTATTTATTAATTACTTTTTTATATTTTATTTATTATATTGGCAAAAAATATATTATTAACAAATTTATTACTTCAAATAAAAATATATTATAAAATCTATCTTTTATGTACCTTTTTAGTAAAATCTATCTTTTATGTACCTTTTTAATAATTTGTAGATATAAAAAGTATTTCTGATAAGAACTATCCAAACACTCTCACTTTATCATAATTATTTTTACACAAAATTTATTCTTCCAAAATCTATTCTCAAAAATAATTTTTCTTCCAAAAACTATTCTCCAAACCATGGTTTAGTTTTATCCAAATACCTTTTTACTCTCCATTTAATTAAAACGCAGCGTTTAGAATGAAAAACAACAAGGGCAATTTTTATTTTTTTTATTTTTAATCTAGAGCGGTGGGTTGCAAGTTCACTTCAATCTACCTTATTTCTCCGGGTGAGAGGGAAATTCATAGTTTTGCCTCCGAAAACCTTCGCAGGTGGTGCGCGGGAAGAAATTGTCCAAGAAGAAGGGCGTTCGCTGTTCTCACTTGTATCCGTTGGGTGCTGCTTCGTTGGGCCTATACCTCTGTTTTATATGTCGCCCTCGGGGCTAGACATGTTGCAGCAACACCAGCAGATTGGTTCGAGGCAGGTGTTGGCTGTCACATTTTTAATTATAAATTGTACAATATATAATTCCAATTCATAACAAGTGTTCTTTTTGGCCATCACAAATAGACCGGAAGTACAGCATTAAACCAGTAGAACAAAGGCACATAACACTTCCTTGCTGTTTACAAGCACAAAAAATTCTTTATCGCAGGAAGTTCAGAGATCAAAAATGAAGCCCCTACTCTCGTAGCCAAAATGGACCAGGCACTTCATGAACAAGATCAAGCATTTAAACAAATGCACCTTGAGGAAAGTGAATATATATGATGCAGAACATGTTGGAATCTACTTTATAAACGCCTTTCAAATACAAACAATAAAGTTTGCTATAGAATTGTATATTATATAATTATTCATGCCCCAACCCAACAAAGGCAAGTTGATCAACAAAAACCAAAGCTCATGCTGGATTTTGACCAGTTTGTATCATGAAAAAATGGTAGAAGGAAAAAGAAAATCTCCCCAAGTAAAACCTATCAACCCCCTAGTGAATAATCCTCACCTCAATCAATTTATGAGAACTCTATTTGAACGAACTCGGATGTTATCCTGCATAATTCAACATTTGACGCCTTATTTTGACTACTTAACTTTTAGGCTGATTCAAAAGACAGAACAGAAATCACGTTGTGGTAGATTCTCCTATGACTTTGCTATTGTGAAGATTTAGGCGCTCAACTTCTGCTCAATTGTGCTCGCTGACGCCTGCAATATTCAGTGATATCACTCTCTCTTTAATCTCAGCATATGACAAATATTATGCAGATTTGGCCGACCGCCGGTGACGAGAAAGAGGACAGTGATGAAGACTTACAAAAGCATGTTAGGCAACGGTGAATGATAAGGACAACCAATAATTTTGCAACGCACGGCTCTGGATTGATAAAAGAAAAAACGCTGCGTTTTAATTAGATGGAGAGTAAGTTGAGAGGGATTTCAGTTGAAAGGTTCCGTGCTGTATGGGCATATATAAAAAAAATATTTAATGTTTATTAAAAATATCATACGATATTATAAAAAGGATCAAAAATTTCTTGTATAAAGGATCTCATAATAAGAACTAGAGAAAGCATATCTTTCGCTTATGTAATTAAGACATCACATGCATTATATAAAAGGTTGATGTGTAAATTTGTTTTGAAAATTTAAATTTAGGTGCGCTGGCCACTTAAAAGTATTTTTTGGTGTAAATTTGCTTCAAAAATTTAAAATTATAACAAAATTATGTCCTACCATTAACAAACTACTATTGATATTTAAAATAGTGACGTTGACTGTTAACATTTTTAATAGCAAGAGGTAAAGTTGTTACGATTTTAAACTTTCAAAATAAATTTACACACAAAAAAAATGTTCCCTATGCCCAACCATTAAGCCTTATCTGGTGATTATAAGTCCCAAGGTGTTTACGCCTTACTTCTTAAGCAAATACCATTAAGTTATGAGAAATTATTGGCCAGAAAAGTTTTATCTTCAATTTATATGAGATTTTGGTTGTTAAATAATAATATATAAGCAAAATTGTAAAAAAAGACCGTCAAAATTAAAAAATTGTATGCAAAGACCCGTTCAGAAAAATTATTATCAAAACCCATACTAATATTATAACGAGTCCCTATTTACTTTTTTTTTTATTTCGGCAGTCTTTTTCCGCAATTTTCTCTAATATATATTTAGATTATTGTTTTTTATTGTTAAATATATTTAGATTAGTTATTTCATTTTAAACCAAAAATGATAACAAATAGATAAAAGATATATCAATTAAATGCGTGTTTATTTTATTATTAGTAACTTACTAATAATAGCGTAAGTGTAATTGGACACAGATGTCTTTTAATTAAAAAAATTCATAACTACGCCGATAGTGCAATCAGATAAGCATAATAATAATTAATAAGCCAGTTGAATGCCATTTGGATAATTTAAATAAATATTTTTACGTTTTCCTATGTCTTTTAGATGTGATTTGAGTAGTTCAAATTATTTTTATTATTATTGTTAAAGTTAAGTTACTTATCACTCAAATTTAAACCCATGTGTATTCATGAAGACACGTTTGAAATAGCTATCCTTCATTTATGGCCGAAACGGACTTGATCTAATCTTAACCGCCGGAGATTCCGAAATCTAAATATAGGATGATATATTACTAAAAATCACAATTTCTCTTTCTACTATCTTTAAGAAAAACATAAAATAAAAAATTAATTAATTTAAAATTTATACACTACAAATCAAATCAAGATGATGGATCTAGCTAATCCAGATATAAGATATACAAACATTTAATTCAAAAATTATACTAGGATATACATATATATAATTTAAGGAAGCAATATATATATATATATATATATATATTTCTCCTTCTCGAACTCAAATTCTTTGCCTTTAAATAGGCCATCATCACTCATTCCCTTTCCGCATAATCCAAGAAACAGCAACAAAGAAAAACAATGTTTATGTTCATCCTTGGTTCTCCTAATTCCTTCTTCTTTGCCGGAGCACCCAGTAACGGTGGGAAGCCCAAGATCGAGTCCGGGTCCGAGTCTGAGCCCAAGTCCATGCCTGAGCCTAAACCCGAGTCTGAGTCTGAGTCTGAGCCAGAGCACAAGTCGAAGCCCAAGTCCAAGCCTGAGCCTAAATCCAAGTCTGAGTCTGAGCCAGAGCCTAAGTCGAAGCCCAAGTCCAAGCCTGAGCCCAAATCAGATGGAAAGAACCCCGTGGTCAAAGTTTTTGAGCGCATGGCAGCCGGGGGACTTAGGATATCGCCGGAGTTTGACGGTCTAAGCTGCTTTTAGACAATTATATCTACTGGATGCTTTTTTCTTTTTTTTTGCCTTTCTGTAGGGATTTTATATTCTATTTTTAATTTTGGAAGAGCATTATATGTGATTTAATATATAGTTATTTTATGTATCTTATTATTTCGGAACTAGTTTCCAGGTTTTAAATCATTGAAATTGTCGTTTTTTTTTTTTGGCCATCTTGTTGTCAGTTATGGGCTCATGGCTATGTGGTGCACTTTTTATCCCTTTTTGAAATTTTAAAGTAAGATGTTTTAAGGTTGGCGAGTGGAATTCAGACTCCCACATTACTAATCACTTATCGAAATTTGGAAAAATTATAAATTATGACATAAATGTAATATATATATATATATATATATATGTTTATGTAATTGAATTTACATACTTTCCCGTTCTAATTCAATATTTCGGCTTTTTTTTTTTTACCAGCCAATGTTTCGGCTTTTAAAACATGGCCTAACAAATTTTTTTATAAAAGAAAAATTAATTAATAACTAGATAAAACAATTGTACAAGACGGAATTGTTTAATGAAAAATAAAATATGTCATCCTTAATCCAAATTGATCATTGGGACCAAAAACTATGTCTTCGCAAATAAACTAGAAAAATCTTAAATATGATTTCATTTCAGTGGAGATTGATTGTTTTGTTATCCTGTTATACCTTATTAACTCTTGATTTTATGGTGAAAAGAGCGTAACAGATTATTGAAAAAAAAAACCAATATAAGAACATTTTGATCAAATAATTAAAATTCTCATGAAATTTATGAGTAAAAATACACAAAATAATAAACATCACACAAAACACAGAATAACTGATATAAGACCTTACGAGCATAACAATCCACATGACAACACTTGGTAAAATATGATGTGTAAACATGAAGTAAAGTTAATTGTAAAATATTGGCACTATATTTATAGCACCAGCCTTTCACACCCAACTTCACCAACTTCAATGTAACATGTGAGAGAAATGTTATCCTGACTTACATAAAATTATTTTTAAAAAGTATTTTTATTGTGAACCGAACACCTTAAACTGAGTCCCAAATTCTCAATTTTTATCATTCACATCAATTTCATTGAACAAAGCAGCTAATCTGGAAGCCAAACTGAGCTTCAAAGCAGGAGAAACGGTATGCTTTCCGATCATTGTCTCCACTAGTGTCTCTGTGAGTGTTTTGTTTTCTATCACTCCTGCTGCTGCTTTTGGCAGTGTGCCATCATCCGAGAAACTAATCTATAATTTCATAACAAACAAACAAAAACTCATTTCCATGATATAGTCTTATTTTAAGTAGGCTCAATTGTATTAAATTTCATAGCATTTTAGATTATGTACAAAAGATGTGTACATCACCACAGGATGAAAAAGAGTTTTCCACATATCCTCTTCAAATATTTCTGTTGAGTGAAATAAAAAAAGTTTACTATTTAACTGTGTTGTTCCTAATTAATTCTCTAAAACACTTGTTAGTAATAACTGAATTTTAGAAGACTTATTAGCAATTGGTCGTTTTTAACATCAGACTTCCTTATGATTCTTTCTTACTTCATCCAACTTAAGTATAAGAGCTAAATGTAAAATCCTAATGTACTTTATCTAACAAACATATAATTATTTATTTTCTAAACTTTATTGATTGCATATATTAAGGAGGTTTTCCGTCAGGAAAATAGCATCAATGCAAAGAGTTAAAAAAAATATTTTAATAAAATTAATATATATTATTTTTAATAAATAAGGGGCATAATTAATTTTTTTTAATATTTTCAAACTAATTATCAAATTTCTATATTTAGGATGGGAAGACATAGTAAATAGAAGGAATAACTAACCGTTAGAGTTCCATTGGGGGATATCAAGTAGAAGACAGAGGAGCCAGGTGGGAAGTTTTGAGGCTGAAAGATTTGAACGAACTTCTGAAGGGCTTCAGCCTCTGCTTGGCCGTAAGTGCCGGCAGCTTTCATATGATTCGCACAGTTTTCAGAGACCTTGCTCCCATACTCTGCTCCTTCTAATGCCATTATCTTTGATCCTCTAATAAATTTCTCGTATGGTCCTGCAATTTCATGTATAATTATCTTTAACAAATTAAACTAAAAATAAAATAATCATACAATCAAAATCAATCTCTCTGTTTTTTTTTTGGCCTGAAAATAAATCTCTTTTTTGCTTCACACAATCCATCTTTTCAGAATTTGATACTCCTTATTTTTCTCTCTTTTTTCTTTTCAATTGAAAAGTTATTTCCTCATCTAGTCCTGAAAATAAGTTAGTTAAGAGCATTGCTATAATCATAAATGCAAAACCTCAACTCACAAATGATGTGAATCTAAAGGGCAATTCAATCACTTTTCGTGAGATTAGTTAAGTAGAGGAATACTAAAAACAAAATGGTCATATTCAATAGGCTACAATGTGTTTTTGAAGCATAATCCAATATATTAAAGGCCCGAAACATAAATATACAATTGACAGAGATCAAGTTATAAAATTATGAATAAGAATTTTCTCTTGACAATTATTTACTTGTTGGTTATGTATTCTTAAGAGAATACTACATGGAACAACTTAGTGATACATTTTAGTGCTTGTTATATTTGGAATTCTTAAACTACCATGTCATTTGGTGTTGGGTTTTGTATACTCAGTGATTTTTTGGGACATGTGTTCATTGGGTTCTTAATTTCAAGATCACTTCCTTCTTTATTGTATTTGTTAATTGGTTTTTTTATTTCTCATTTTGTAATTTTTAGGTTTTCTAGGAAAAATTTTTATTGGGTCCACATCAACAAACTTATAATTATCTTTTCAAATAATTTTATTAATTACTCATGCTAAAAGAAGTTTTTATTCATAGATGTAGTTTTCACTATAAATGATTAAATAGGATATTTTAGTAAAACTAGCATACATTTAGTATAAATAACTAATTTAATTAATTACCTTAATATTTGTAAAAGAATTTTTTATCAATGGAAGTATGACAACAATATTTATTATTTTTATTTCAATTATATCCTTATCTCCCCATGGAAACTTAAAAATTGCTAAAATAAATTAAAATAATTAAAATAAATTTATAAATTGTAGAAAAACAATGGTGTGGATGGATTTTTTTTTTTTTTGACCTTGTGTGGAGGGGAGTTCAATGATGACAAATAAATTTAAAAAAAAAAAAAAGAGGCGCATGGTGGGAACACGTGTTCCTTGGATTATCTTAACACTCCCCCCCGGGGGATCACAACACATTTTCAAATACATCACTTAGGGAAATCTCAAAAAATATTTGACAAAAAAAAAAAAGAAATCTCAAAAATAGATTAGGGGTTTATTTTAAATTTATTTTGTTTAAGAAATCTCAAAACTAGATGAGGGGTTTATTTTAAACTTATTTTTAAAGCAATTAAATTCGTGTACTATTATTCATTAATTTTAAATAATATTTCTTTTTATAGATTTCCAGTAAATTATATAAAACTTACAAAATTTATAACAACGTACAAATAACCTTCTTAGCTTTTAAAACTTAATATTAAAATCCCGTAAATTTTTAAGTCTATGCAGATAATCTCAGACTATCCAGTTTATACCCGTTTGAGCTTTATTTTTTTAATAAAAAATTTTGTTTTTATTTGCATATAACTCCCTCCAACTTTGAGTTATATGGAGATAAATACCTAAACATTAATCTATTTGCAAAAAAATAAAAAAAAGCCTGATTGTATGAGATTTATTTGCTTACATGTAAAACTTCCAGGAGGATTATCATAATGTTTATATATAACATAAACTTCAGAAAAAAAATTTTATTTTTTAAAATTATCGGATGGGACACATTGATACCTAAGTAATATATAATCAAAGATTATAAATGATGTGATTTTACTTTTTAAACTTTGTATAGTACTCAGAAAATATATAACCTAGTTTAGAAATTAAATAAATGCATGATGAAGTTACCTTTCACAATATCCATGAAGAAATCAATGGAATTGAGCAATTCATCTTGTGTCTTTCCTTTCCACTTGGAGGCCAGACATGGGAATGCCTTATCTTCCAAGTAAACTCCAATGCTCGTCACCTTTATGAACTGCCCCGCTATAGTCAAACCTCTCACACCTGCTCACCAAAATTTAATGTATCCTAATTATTTTTACTCAAACCAAGGTCATTTAATCTTATCCTTGATTATTATATAATTGTTTTAAGAAAATATAAAAAAAATCATGAATTTCAAAATCCCAAATAAAAATTCATATAAAAATACGTTGTTATTTTCTTTTTAAGTATAAACAATTACTATTAAAGTGTAGAAAACACCAAGTTGGTCTTCCTTCTATTTCAATAGATAAATTAGATCAAAAAACTGGCTAATTCACTAGTTTTCCATTTGGAATGGCTAGTCCGATTCAATTTTTCAATGATGGTTGTTGGAACTAAATTCAAAGAATTGATTTGTAATTAAGAATAGCAAGTAATTAATTTTTCTTAATTAAAATTAGAAAGGAATATCTGAAAGTGGAAGGAAAAATCTGAGCAGGAGTACCCCTCTTTCTAGCTTTTTTCCCCTCTTCCCATTTATAATTTTGGTGTGTATAGACATTTAAAATGATCAAAACCAAAAGAGAAGAAGAACCATATGATATTACTTTAGGTTGTGAAAGATACGGCGATGAATGTGTAAAGTTTTAAAATATAAATCCTCCTAATGTGAAAAAAAATTTAAAAAATGGTAAAAATAAAACAATAATTTTATTTCTTTCTATTTTCAAATTGAATACAATAAAAATTCACTCAAATCCCAAAAACTCTCCACAAGCCCCAGCAATAATTTAATTGAATCAGACCAAACCCATGAAAGACGACATGATAAACAAAGTTTTGCAATGATATAATTACACACACACACACATATATAGTGGATAAGAAGAAGAGGTAGATGAATAACCTGCGCCACCAAGATAATAGGACTTGCCGGAGCCGCCCAAAGGTGTCACGGTGGCTGGGTACTCAAGGAACTCCACGGTCACTCCGGTGAGGGATGCCAGTCCTGCCGCCATATCTGAGAAAGGTTTGCAAAGGGAGAAGGATACTGTGATTTGTCGAAGATATTTACGAAAGATGGGTTTCAAGAAATGGAGGGGTTAGTGATATATATAGGAAAAAAGATTTCGATCCAACTTTTTTATTTTTGGTAAAAGAAATTCCATCCAACTTGAAAGAGAAAGAAATAGAAGTGTGTCAAAAGTTATCAAACGTAATATCGTTACTTCCCCACCCGTTTCGATTTGTCAAATATATGAGATTATTTGGTGAGAAAATGAGACACAGTCAAAAGAAACATTATATTAAAATGCACAATAATGTAATTTTGAATTTCTAACTTTATATAAGGTTTTAACTCAATCCTTAACTTCATAAAATATATATATTTTCAGTCCTCTAATTCTAATAGCCTTACTATCAAATAATGACATATTATAATAATAATATTATTATTATTTTAAAAATTAAACTTAATATGTTAATATTAGAGAATATTTTATCAACATTTAATATTTTAATGTCAGCTTATGTTTTTTTAACGAATTAGTTAGGACTAAAAAAAATAATAATGCATTTTACCAAATTAAATTATCAAAATAAAACTTCATGCAAAATTAAAGAACTAAAGATGCATTTTTATTATTAAACTATAAATATAAGTTCTGCAAATCTTTTAGTTAAGGGAAAATGATAAAAAAAAATACATGTTAAAATTTTAAAAATCAAATAAGTCATAATAACTATTCTTATAATAATTTTGACTACTCTTACAACAATTTTGACCGCTCAAAATCTATGAAAATCACATATTTATCATTTTAAAATTCAATAAGTATCTTTTGTCATTTGTGTTTACATAAAGAAGCTTGTGATTGAGTGGCGCGAAACCTCTCCACTTAGGCATTCTCTCCATTTCCCTCCACTAACGCCAAACTATGTCGTTTCCCACCTCTCCACCAATCAGCTTCTTGTATTCCCCTCCACTTGGTCCAGCGACATCGTTTTGTAGTGGCCTGACCTTTTAAAAAAAAAAAAGATGCTTACTCAATCAAGAGAAAAAAAAATCAGAGATCTCTTCCGGTCTTCCAGTCTGATATTGTATAAATAAATAAATAACTCATGAGGCTTGTTATAAATTTATAATAGCCTCTGATGATCGCCTCTTTTTTGTTAAAGACTACTCAATTTGCATGTTTCTCAGTTAGTATGAGTGAAGGAGGATTGGAAGAGATCTCTGATTTTTTTCTCTTGTTTGAGTAAACGTCTTTTTTTTTTTTAAGGTCAAGCCAAAACGATGTCGCTGGACCAAGTGGAGGGGAATACAAGAAGCTGATTGGTGGAGAGGTGGGAAACGACATAGTTTAGCGTTAGTGGAGGGAAATGGAGAGAATGCCTAAGTGGAGAGGTTCCGCACCGGTGAGTAGGGACTTTTGGTATGCTACATTTGTTATCAAAAAATAAAAAAATTTCTTAAAAAGACACTTCAATAACCTAAATTATTATTTGAGTTATTAAATTTATCAAAATCCTAATAAGGTCACATGACACAAAGAGAGATTTTAAAATTTTATGAAATAACTTTAGTGCCTATTTATTAAAAACCTGGAGAGATGAGGATTTTCTATACATCATTTTGTGTTTCATAAAAGTTCTGAATGAGGAAAACTTGGTATTTACCATTGTAAAGTCAGAAAATCGATCAAGAAGACAACGACGAGTTAGTTTTATATAAAATCTTCCTCCCTTGATACAAGAAGGATATGCAAAAATCTAAATCCAATATTGAAATTATTTGTCCAGAAAGATGAACATTTTGAATGTTGAATTTTTTTTTTTGGTATATGGGATTGGAAACTTGTTAATTATAAATTGAAAGTTGTTAATTTAAAATTAAAACTTGTTAATATATAGTTGAAATTATTAATTTTCAAGGTCATATAGTGATTAAGTGTTATTCAAAAACTTATTATAAGTGTACTATGAAAATAGAAAAGTGCTAATTTAGAATTGAAACTTACTAAATATGAAATAGAATATGTTGATTTTCAAAACTGTATTGTGATCAAGTTTTATTCAAAGACTTATTGCAAGTGTTATGGAAACATAAAACTGTTAATTTAGAAACTAACATTTGTTAACTATGTAATTGAACTTATTGATTTTCAAAATTATATTGTGATCAAGTTTTATTCAAGAACTTACTACAAGTATATCATGGAAATAAAATATTGTTAATTTATAATTGAAATGTGTTAACTGCAAAATAGAATATGCTAATTAAGGGTTCTCTTAAAGGTATTAGAATTATTTTATAAAATTTAAATATCTTTTATTGGGTCTTGTGACCTATTAGAAGTTTCACATATTTAGTAATCCCAATAAAATTCGGATTATTTAATTATCTTTTTAAGGGATTTTTTTGAAAACAAAGCCGCAGAAGAGATTGATTCTTAATTGTCATTTCTTAAATTGGGTCTATTGAGAGTAATTAGATAATTTTTTTAGTGAGATCTCTATAATTTATTCTGACTCTTTTTGAAGCAATCTATTTATTTTTTATTTATAAAAGTAATAAAAAGCTATGTTTTTTATTTTGAGTTTCTTTTAAATGCATAAATATACTATGTCGTTAATGTCACTTTGCCAGCGGTTAACAAAGGTCACTTCTAGATTTTTTTTGAAATATAATTATTTAACTGGGTTAAATTTGAGTATTATTGGGCTCATAACTCGCTTAAAAGTGTTTTCTATATTCATGCAAACTCTAATTCAATTTTTCACACAAGCCAAAAAATATTAAATGATGTAAGTAATGTATTTTACTAAAATGACGCCAGCTTAAATAACTTTTTAAATGGAAGTCAACTTTTTTCGGCTTGAAAATGAAAAGCAACTCATTGAAAAATGCTCATTGGCATGAATTGGCATTTGGCTCAATAAGTGGAGTGTTGATTAAGTGCATAATAATAATAATAATAATAATAATAATAATAAATACATTATTAACATTTTTTGCCAACAAATACATTATTAACATTTTAAAACCATATTTATTTTGAACTAATTAAAGTGATACCGGAAGTAGGAATCGATTAATTAGTTAGCTGAGATTTTTGTATTCTCAGGTTCAACAGACGATGCTGGGTTGCAAAGAAATTAATTACGACACTTTGAATATGTATGAAAGAGTAGAATATTAGGTTGCTAAGTTTCTCTAATGATGTCACTGCCTGTTTACCTGTTGACCATTTAGGTTTTTAATTATTTTTCTTAAAACAAATCATTTCTCGTTTTAAAATTTAAATAATGTAACAACAATGACAATAATAAAATTATCTTTATTAAATTTAAAAAATTAACTCATAAGCCTATAATTCACCTCAATTTTGAATTAATTTATTGTGTTTTGACCATTTAGGTTTTGGCATGAATTTGACGACTCATAAATATATCACAATATTAGTCTCCCTCATAGAATGCAGATCCCTTCAAATATAAATATATATATATATATAGAAAATAATATTTTTCAAACTCATTAAGTCCAATAGGATGACATAAGGATGTTGAATTGGCAGGCGGTTCCGTGGCGGCTCACAATACTTACCACAAATTAAATATGCTGCATAATTAATTTGAGGTTCACTATAAAGCACTTGTTGAAAATGTAATTTTGGGTATATATAAATGGTGCAAAGTAGTAACAAGTACTCCTCCCTTATTTAACACTCGTAACTTAGTTAATTATAAGAAATATGATATGTTTTTTTAAAACACTATAATCATCTTTCTTAATATCTTTCCTCCTTCACTCGTTTGATTATGATTGAGAAAGTATCCATGAAGTAATTTAAGAAAAAACTAATAAATATAAAAAATATATCTTATATTTAGAATCAAAATTAACTTAACAATTAGATCTTATATCAAAAATATGATGAGTATAAATAATAGATAGTGCTAGACATACATATTAAGAATCTTTTCTATTTTTACCCCATTTAATATAGAGTACATAAAATAGTTAGGGAAAATTGCAAATAAAGACCGTGGAATATATAAAATCGCAATTTGAGTCCTTGAATTTATATAATTGCTGTCAGAGACCCGGTCCCAAATAGGAATTATGAAATGTTGATTAAAAGTCAAAAATACCCTTCTGCTTCTCCTTGTCTTTTTTTCATCTTATCATCTCCTTCTCTTTCCTTTTCTTCCCCTCAATCCTTCTCTTCGTGCTTCTTTTTCCTCCTCCTCATCTCATTCCCCTTCCTTCTCCTTCTCCTCCAGTCCCACTTCCTTGTCTTTAACCCCATCTCTCTCAACTTCTCTCACTCTCTCTTTCCCCTCTGTCATCTTCTTTGTTCCTTCTCCCAAAGCAAGTGAATAACAGGACTTAGAAGAAGGATGCCAAGGGAAACAATAATTAAGCTCAACAAGACTCCCATTGGATATTGTTGAAGCCTAGCTTCAACAGGGAATTGGGTTCCAGTTTGTCACCGAGTTCTGCGTTGAAGTCGAAGATGGTTGCAGCGACGACGGCAAGTGTACGATGATTGCTTGGTGCTCAAACAACGCCCAACAAATCTGGATTTTTTATTCTTCATTTCTATTTTAATTTTCAGCTTCTGTTTATAATTGAAAATAACAAGTTTGATAAGTTGTTGAAAATAACAAGTTGACAAGTTCTGATACCCAATTCACGACAAGTTCAGTAATACGAATAGCAAGTTTAGGAAGGAAAATAACAACTTCTGATAAGCAATTCATAGAAATTCGAGTTTCTGTGTTAAAATGACAGCATTTTTAGATTTCTTTAGCAGATGACAAGTTCTGATACACAATTCATGACAAGTTCAGTAAGGCGAATGACAAGTTTAGTAAAGCGAATGACAACTTCTGATAAGCAAATCATAGAAATTTGAGTTTCTCTGTTAAAATGACAGGTTCCCATTAGGTTTTCATACTTTTTCTGTTAAAATGACTGAATTTCTACATTGATTTATGAAAATGACAAGTTTCCACAAGATTTTCATACTTTTTTTTCCTAGAAATACAGTTTGTACATTTCTGACAGC